CTTGCCTTGCCTTGCCTTGCCTTGCCTTGCCTTGCCTTGCCTTGCCTTGCCTTGCCGTACAATCAATAATGATAAATGTTTATTTATTTTTCTGAATCAGCTCAATATTACAGGAATCGTTGGACAGGGCTACAAGAGTGACATAGCAATAGACGACTTATCAGTGTCCATGTCTGAWTGTCCAGCAGGTCTCACTGATATACGTAAGTTAACTTAAACAAAAAAGTTTCCAATTCACCAGAAATGGTTCAGTTATTTCAAGGGGTGTGGGATGGAGCTTATTCTTCTTTCTCTTCGTTAGCTTCCGTATAAAGATCCTTGCAATCAATAAAAAGTGTATCTTTTACCTTAGATTGTTATCCTCCTTGTAATGAAGGATTCGCCTGCCTCGATGACAAAGGAGAATGTGATTGTAAAGGACTAAAATACGTCAATAGTACTTGTTATGATGGTAAGCTCATATAAATAACATCTTCGCAACAAATATCCACAGATCCGGGTCTCTCACTAATGACCGTCYTGATGCAGTTGTGTAGTCCACATTAGTGACCGTTTTTTGGAGGGAGAGGATTTAGTATGTATGTAAATTATGSTTTTTAAAGCAACATCTTTTTGGTAGCCCATCCTGTTTACAAGCTTTATTTATTTTCATCCCGTCTTAGGATTTTAGAATATAATCGACACCAAGACAAAATGCSTCCCAATTTTTGATAGTACCCAAAGTTGGGCTAAAAAATTCACAATCCCCATCCCCACCCAACCAAGCACAAAATAAACTATAAATGCAATCACAATGTTCCTGGGTTGGAGGAAAACCAGAAAAACCAGAGGAAAGATAAATAAAATGAGGCTTAGTAGTGGTCCACAGAGTGGCTCTTGCTCCACTGAATTTCGATGGCAATTTATAAATAAATATATTACTTTGGACAGAGGAAAACCAGAGACTCCGGAGATGATCCCTCAAAGCATAGGAAAGAGSCACAAACAACTTCAGTACATCTTTTACAAATAAAAAAATACAATTATTTCGATTATATTCATATTAATGATTAATTCTGCATTACATAACGCAGTACTAAAGAGTACGATATTTCACAAGGCTTCTCATTATTGGCCATTGGATGCCATTTCAAATGTCACCAACCTTCTGGGGTTCACCCACGGTAAAACGACAGGCGGTGTGACATCCGTTGCTGGTCCCGTAAACCAGGCTCTTGTCACACATGGAAGTACAGGACAAATAGTWCTCGGGGACTTGAGCACCTCTTGTATCTTAACCTCTCCCTCGTGTACAAACGGCTTTACTTTCTGGTTTTGGCTCAAGTTCCCTAAAAATGAAGCTAGAGAAAGAAAAGTGTATTTATCTGTTGGGCAAGATGAAGAACGATCAAGAGGATTACAGGTAGAAAGAAACACATGCCATTTTCTTAAATATTATTTTTATATTTCAAATTTGTRGCATTGTTTTAATTTTTAAAACTATTTTGCGTTAGAGACACAGGATTTRTTATTTTTCAAYATATTTTACAACCACYMCTYCCCGTACGGGGCTCTTCCGTGAGGTTCCCTCCACACGTACTACTACTACATTCTATATTYACAACTTACACACTCAACTCAYATGTTGATTTTTACGGAGGTAGGAAACCCGGCGGAGAACCCGAAGAAAACCCTCSTGGCAAGGGAGAGAKCARCACATCAAACAAACTCAACTCACGTATGATCCAGTCTGAGCCTGAACAGTAAACCACTACGCCACCCATGCCACCATTAACTYCAATTAATTTTAACTCCATAAAGAAATCCTTTCCAATTCATGAACTGTAACGTTTTGGAAACCCCCTCCCAAACCCCCACTGGGATATAAATGTATGGAAGCAAATTAACGTTTACTCCTCTTCGGTATGGTTATGCCATGTTTTCACCAAAGCAGTCCGTTCTAATGTTTTACAAACCCGTAAAATACCCAAACTATTATATCTTAACCACATGAGATTCTCAAAAGTAGAGTGCATRAAGTAAAACCATGAAATAAAAAGAAAGTTGATACTGAAAAATARTACTATTTTAGAGATTTATAGTCGCTATCACTCGACTTAAACAGTTCATTGCACAAAAACACAAATGTTTTTTTGTGAAGTTGTTTTTGTGGAATGTTATAGTTGAGTTATAGGAACTACATTAGTCACTAAATAGTACCATTTGTCAGTATAAATTTTGTTTTTATTTCATGATTTTACTGCATGTGCTCTACTGCAGAGCAGCTCCATTTTTTAATCTTTGTCTATGTGTTTTGATTCTAGGTGCTCCAGGATTTCAGTGTGATCGACAACCCAGCGCATCTCATCATCAACACTACAATAGAAGGAACGACTTGTGTAGCTGCCTTTGAAGCCCATGCCGCTATATGGTCTGTCATAGCAGTCACGTGGGGCACAACCAATGGACTAACTATTTATCATAACGGCAAGAATGTCACCAAATATCAGTTACACACGTGTTCTTCTGTAGCTTCTGTGTTTCCTAGCAACAGCCTATTACGCACAGGATTTGGAGGGATTTCCCCTGAACTCACTATAGATGATACTGTTATCTGGCATCGAGAGTTAGATGCCACAGAAATTATCAAAATATTTCGGTTCTTTACAGGTGATTATTAGTTAAATCTGAGCAGTTTATCGTAGATTCGAAATATTCCATACGCGTTTTCTTTTACTAGTACTTCCCAATATTCCTGTGTGCTTTATAGAACTATACATCTATATCTCGTATCGTACCTTTTCTTTTCTTCAGCTCCGCAAAAGACTCTTCTTTTATCGGTCAAGTTTCCTGACGAGGTTTTTCAAGACCGACTTCGAGATCGAGAAAGTCAAGAATTTAAAGACTTCCACAATAAAATCTTAGGGAATGTAAGTAATTTGACAGCTCAAAACATAATGCGAACGACCAATTTGGTGCCTCTTACCGCTCATTAACGTTTGCACTCCAGTCATGCTGTATGCTGTATTATTGCTGTTCACAAAGTCTCAAATCTGTTACCTCTATTTTCTAGATTCAGGCCATTTTTAACGGAAAGTCTATAAACTTCGATGATATCTTCATTAATCATTTGAGGTTTGTATTTTACGGCTCACCCTTCGGTTTTACAGGCAGCACTTACGAACTGCACTTTAGTCTTTGCCATCCTCTTTTAATTTTCCTCCTCCTTCTTTCGATGTCAACATAGAAAACGGATAACAAACAAATAAGAACACCGCCCTAACCTATTGAGTAGTAAGAGTCCCATAGTTGAGTGGGGTTTATTTTACTTCACATTTGAAAGAAAAACAAAACAAAGGGCTCTGATTTCACCTGTTTCTTAAGAAGGGCGGATTCAGGGGGTCGTCCTTGGAATTTAATAACATAATAGCCTCCTGTGATATGCTCAATATGAAGGAGGTCAATGATTAAGTATGTATATATTGTTTTTTTGTTGTCTCCATAGCAACGGGAGTGTCAACGCTCGTCTGTCCTTGTTTTTTCATGACATAACAAGCAAGGAACTTGACATACTGAATAACGCAGTTTGCCACAAACAAGCACTGAATAACATGGCAATCAAACCTCTTGGTAACATTGGGATTGTGTTTATGAATCACACAGGTAAAATACATCTAGCTGATTACTATTCGTCTATGTACTTATTGACTGAGTGGGAGGGCCGTACGCGAAAATATTTGGCTCGAGGTCATGTCGTACGGACCGAGCGCAGCGAGGCCCGTACAAATGACCGAGAGCCAAATATTTTCCCGTACGGCCCGACCTAACTCAGTCAATAAGCATTTTATTATATGAGCCTCACGAAAACAAAAAAAAACAAAAAAAAA